CTCTTTCGTTGCAGCAGTGAAGAGAAACAGTGCTGTAGCAGGGAAACCGCTGCCGGGCGCGTCCCTTCTGGAGCTAAGCGGAGTGCGTTGCACCTTGAACCTGTACCTTTGCAGGCACCTGCAAGGCCCAAGAATCCACGCAAATGGAAGGGACCTGGGCGGTGCGATAAGCTATGGAAGGGGGGAGCCTGGGCAGTGTAGCATGGAAGGGGCCTGCGCGGTGCAATAAGCGAATGGAAGGGGGGGCCTGGGCGGTGCTGTAAGCAAATGGAAGGCACTTGGGCGGTGCGATAAGCGAATGGAAGGGGGGAGCCTGAGCGGTGCTATAAGCAAATGGAAGGAGCCTGGGCGGTGCGATTAGTGAATGGAAAGGGGGAGCCTGGGCGGTGCTATAAGCAAATGGAAGGGGCCTGGGCGGTGCGATAAGCGAATGGAAGGGAATGGTTACAATCAGAAAAGAAAGAAAGAGAAGATTGATGACCACCAGAAGGCACTCCAAGATGATCTACAACCACATTGGGGATGACATCAACTACCAGACTCTTAGCTTTGCAAAGCCAATAAAAACAGGATTCTTGAGAAGATCCGTGAAATCTATCTTGAGTTGAGACAAGAAGGCCTGCCTTTGACAAGGGTGCACTCAGATAGGGTCGTGAACTTCAGATCTTTGCAAGCATGGCTGGCCGAACGCTGCTTCGAACAGACAAGGACCTCGCTTTCGGCGCGACCACCTGTGAAGAGCAAGGTCTCTAGTGGATCCTACGACCTGGATGAGCGATGGAAGCATCTCCTTCATCTCTTCTGAGGAGAAGCGCTCTTCCTCTAGGCAATCCTTGGCTTTAAGTCGATTGGATCACCAGGTTGTTGTACACTTGCGAGAGTTGTTTTTCCCTTGACTCGACGCTCAGGTTCTGGCCAAAATGGGCTTCCAGTGGCGGTGGTTGATAGTCATCATCTAGTCGAACCACTCGTCCTTGGTATACGTCGCTGGAGTTTCCTACAAACAACTTGCCTTCTGGGAGTTGGTTCAGCAGGACACAGCTACATCCCGGGCACGAATGGCCAAAGAGGTGCGAAGTTCTGAATCAACATCCTGGAAGGTGGGACAGTACTCGCACGCAGGATCTACTGGGCTGCTGGGCGCTGAAGTGAATTGGTTTACCTGGTCGAAGATGATGGACCCTTCCTCGTCTCCATTCAACCGTATCAAGGGCATACTCATCTTCTTCGGACTCGATCCAACCACTCCCACAACATGCTTCCAGAGGCACTAGGATGTTGTCCCGGTTCGGTTCATTATGAACATCACAATGCATATCCATGCCCATGTTCTCTAAGATGATGATAGCGGTGAAGTCATTTGTCGCGAGGTAGGTAGACATCGCCCTTACAAAGTACTCTGTCACCCATGGTCTCATCAAGGTCGTCCTCCAAGATACCACAAGACCGAGCCATGGGAAGGGAGGAGGTTGATCGCAACCCTCTTCACCCCTAGAACAACAAACTTGGCACCATCTACACGGGATGCCTTAACACAATTAGGTTTTGGGGTACCGCGAGAATCACCACGAGAACCTCGACGACTACAACCTCAAAATCAAGGCTGTCCTAGCTATGATGGAGATGGTTAAAGAAGATGAGACCGTGGACGGCGTTGTGATTCGGGAAGGTGCACATCTGGAAGAGGGCCCATCAAAGGTTCGTGAAGCCTTGGACGAGTTGGATAACATCCAGGAGGAGGTGATTGAGAGACTGGAACAACGGTTTATATGGTTGGAGGATTTCTTGGCTGAGGAGGAGATTCTTCGGGAGGAGCTGATGTTGACGAGTCAGGCCACCATGGATGAAGCCAAGAATCTCCAGGAAACCCTCCGCGCGAATGATCAATGCCACGAAGAAGGGAATCCAGGAGGCAAGGAAAACTGAGAAAATCTACCTGAAGGTGGCGAACCTCACGGACGACAACCAGGTGGAAGATGTGGAGCTGTACCTGGAATCGCTGAGGGAAGACCTAAAGGTGACCCTGGATGTGCCTTTGGACCAATGGATAAAAGCCATTGCAAAGGAACTGCACAACCTCGAGCACAATACTGGAGCCTGGAGAGGGTGAGTTTGGAGAAGGCCAAACAAATGGAAAGGGAAGGCAAGCTCCCACTTATCCCTGGGAAGATGGTCTTCACGGTCAAGCCAGTGAGTGAGGTGAAGTCGGAGAACAACCAGAAGAGCCAACCGAGGTGGAAACGAAAGGCGAGGATGGTAATCTGTGGCAATAGGGTGGATATGGATGATGATCACACAAAAAACCTGTTGTATGCTGCCGGCGCAACGGCAGAGAGTCTTCGGATTGGCCTCTCCTTGGCCACTCTGCCGCTGGTGCCACTGACATTACGGGGGCATTCTTGCTGGCTATTTGGCCATCCGACAAGCCGCTATACGGTGTGATACCACCACGAATTCTACAACAAGGCGGATTCCTGAGTGAACAAGAAGTTCTCTTGGTTCGGCGTCCTCTGTATGGATTAAGGGAGAGTCCCGCGCTTTGGGCACAGTACCGCACCGAAGTCCTCAAGACCTTGCACCTGGACCATGATGGGGGTACGATACGCCTGCAACAATTACGAACGGATTCCGAGTTGTGGCTTGTCCTGATGAGCAAAGAAGGCGCCCACACACTGGAAGGAATCATCGTGACTTATGTGGACGACCTCCTATATCTGTGCTGTGTGGAGCTGATGAAAAAGATCCATGGATGGGTGAAAGGGAAATGGCCTTGTGCAGACCTGGAGCTGGCGATCCAACCTGGAGGAATCAGGTACTTGGGCATGGAGTTGGTTCAATATGAGGATGGAACATTTTCGTTGGGCCAAGAAGGATATGTGGAGAACCTCACAAAGGCTCATGGTCTGGATCAAGATGCTTCCGCGGGGTTGCCTTGTCCAAAGGAATGGGTGAAGGATACGGACTACCTCGTTGAGGAGGAGAACTACACGATTGATGAATTACGGCGAGGACAAATAATAGTGTTTGTGGCTTGCTTGCCGTACCCGACCAGACATCCTCTACATCACCAATTACATGTCGACCATGGTGGCGAAATCCCCTTGCTTGGTGTACAAGACGGGCTTGAAAGTTCTGGCCTATTTGAATGCAACCTCGTCCTTGAAGTTGAGGATCGATGGGAGAACAGCAAACCAAGGCGATCATCAGCTACCAGATGTCCAAAACCGAGGCGATCATCAGCTACCAGATGTCCAAAACCGAGGCGATCATCAACTACCAGATGTCCAAAACCGAGGCGATCAACCGCTACCAGATCAAAGCAGCAGCAGCAAAGCAAGCATGCACGGGTCACATAAGTGGGGTTATAAGGTCGCTCTCGTGGGATATTCGGATGCGTCTTTTGCTCCGTTTGGTGGAAAGAGCTTTGGAGCAAGCACGGTGGTCCTGGGACGTACTCCGATTGTTTGGAAGGCTGGAAAACAAACGATGGTTAGCATGTCTGTTTGCGAGGCCGAGTTGATGGAATCTGCAACTTGCAACTTATTGCTGGAATCTGTGGGTGCCATCGTGGGCGAGATTACAGGGCAGTCGATCCTTGGGGAACTAAGGATCGACAACGCTGCTGCTGGGGGCCTTCTTATAGGCACACCAGGATCATGGAGAACAAGACACCTTCGTATACGCCACTCCTACGTTCTGGACAAGGTTGCCTCAGGAAATCTAGTCGTTCGACATGTCCCTGGAGACCTCCAACTTGCAGACCTACCAACCAAATTACACCCAAGGCAACGGTTGATGGAACTTCTGCGACTGTGGGCCATGTTTGGAATCCCGGAGCTGGACCGCATGCATGCCGCGGAGGACTTGCGATTGTGTTATCTGGTTCTGGCGATGGTTGCTCTAATGTCGATCGGTGTGGATGCGAGAAAGGTGACAGACACAGGAGTTTTCGCAAAGGAACCGCTGGCTACGACTGGAACAATGGAGTTGCTTCTGTGCTTGACAATGTGGTGTGTGGTGGCCGTGGTTTGTTGGGAGATAATGAAGGCGCTGTGGTCTTGGTGCTCGAATCGCTGTTTCGGAAGCAAACGAGACAGGAAGCTGAAAAGGCTACGACGGCTTGCGCAATTGGCGACGGAAGCGGAACTGGAGCGAACCTTTGAGGGTGCTGAGGTGGAGATGGATGACTTAGCACATGGGGCCGTTTCAGATGTCGTCAAGAAGGCAATGACCCAAACTGCTCCGACGACTACAACGACTACAAGGGCAACACAGACGGATGAAATCGAGCCAGACGTTATCGTGAGAGAAAAGATCGTGAAGGTTCCTGAATTCCGGGATCGAGAACGGATCGTTCAGGTGCCTCGGGAAGTGCGTGTCGAGGTACCAGTGATGAGAGAAGACAGCAGATATGAAAGGCTGAACGAGGTGTACATGACGGAGAATGGATGTGGCTCATGCCACACCTCAGCTACATGTCAGGGCTTCGAGGGTGAAATCCGTGCCGTTGTGTACATGGTGCAGCAGAGCAAGGCCAATGTTTGCTAGGGATCGAGATGACTTGGCAAACAATCGCACAAGATGAGTTTGCATGTATCATATGCGAAGCATGTGAGCACAACGATAGAATCACGAAAGAACAGAAGGTCGGACGAATCCATGTGTTCCATAGCCGGAGGCTTGGAACAAGGAGGAGTGTGGAAACCTCGATGTCCGACCGCAGGATGATGAGGGACAAGCAGCATGGGGTCATGTGAAGGCCATGAAGGCCATGAAGGCGATGAAGACCCAAAGCTAAGCAAGGTCCCGTTGCGATGTATAGGCATAGTCTTGCAGACTTTGCACAAGCAATGATTCTTTCCGTCCTGAGCGTTCTGTAAAAGCCCGTTGCTTGCAGTCTTTGCCGCCATGGACTTGCAATTATATTATTACTGCGCTCATTACATTCTCTTCGTGGTTTCGTTCACAAGTTCACGCGGATCACTACGGCGACGCTGCCAATGTCCTATGGATCTAAGGGTCAGAGCCAGTGGACGACCAAGGACTCGTGGCAGTCCGACAAGTGGAAAGGCCAATCCTGGAAGCAAGGCGACTGGCAGCAAAAGAATAGGTGGCCGCAGAAGAAAGGGGGCGGAGACAGAGAGAAGTGCTGGAACAAATGGGAGCGTGACGAGAAAGCCCCAGGAGAGGGTCAGCCGGTAACGCCTGGGCCCCTCTGATCTTGCAGACAGGGAGGTTCGATCAGGGGCGGTCGTCGACCGACACCTTGGATCTGCCAGACGCAGAAGAAGCCACAGAGGAGGACCTGTCCCGCCAGGCCCAGCAGGACGTTGAAAGGGAAGACCAGGCCTATTCGGCGTCAGTCTGGAAGGAGGCCATCGAGCGGGCCCACCACTCGGTGGATCGTCCCCCGAGTGCCAGGGAGCTGGTCCAAATGGGGAGGCTCAAAGATTTCTGGAGCATGACCTGGACCCAGGCGCGCGGGGAAGTCTCGGCGGACTCCGTGGAAGCCTGCAAAAGGGCCCTGAATGAGGTCGCCATCTCAATGCCCGACCAAACCTTCCACAGGCTTGCAGCAGTGCTTGCAGCCTTCATGGACGGAGGGAGATCCCCCATGGGCGAGGATGGCAAGCTGCGCGCCATGCGCACCCGCATGCCAGGTGCAGAAGGGGTCATCATCTCGACCATGATCACAGGCCCAAGTTACACCAAGTGTGATGACCATAGGCATGACCTGGTCATGGCCCACGGCACTGGTTTTGTCCACGCGATAGGCATCGGGCTCCATGGAGAGGTTTGCCCGAACGATTCCAAGCCGGAGGACTACCCCAGATTCGGATTCAGTGGGCGAGGGACGCTGGAGGCGCCAGACCCCGCCACCATTGAGGCGGCCTTTCAAAAAACGGTCGCCCACTCCAAAGGCCCACAGGGAGTCATTTTCGTGTATCAGGGCGAGCTTGAGAAGCCCACCCACACAACCGAAGGTGGGGTGGCGGTCCGTCAAAGACGTGGGCTCCGCGTGCAGCGGACAGCACATAATCCTCCCTCCACCCCAAGCACGCGATTCTGCGTGCCATCGGCTGCACGTGGCCGGCCTAGATGAAGAGCCCCAGATTTTGGGCGACAACTGAGGGGTGTGTTTCCAGCCATGATAAGCTCTGGCCTGTCTGACAGTTTTGAAGCGAGGCAAGACAGATGGGTGAGGAAACAAGGGGTCGGAGTCAGCAACTGCATGTCACCTCCCCCCCCCACCGACAGCTGCAGGTCCCCCGATTCAGTGCAGGTGTAAGCTCACGAGGGTTGCATGATTTTGTATCTCGAGTTGGCTTGCAGCATGAGAGCCCTAGATGTGCCGTCGGAAAGTGACTCCGATGAGGCGATTGCGCCGGCCTTACCAGTACATCCTACACAAGACGGGGTGAACGAGCATGTCATAGTTGAGCAAGCCACGTTGCCGGTCATCCGACTGCCTTGGGAGTCGGGAGTTTTTCAGGAGATCTTCTCCAGGCCGTCGATCATAAGCGATGACTTGCCCACCCCCACCATGTATGGTCAGGCTGAACTCCAACTAAGGGAGCTGTCGGCGCAACAATCGGTGAAGCGCCAGTGCCGAGTGGTCACACCTGACAAGGCCATTTTCTTGCAGGCAGTCAGGCGCAAGCCTGACAGAGACTTCGACGAGAAGTGTGAATACGTGTGGGGCCGAGCTGTCAAACTCTGGCTGACGCTCATGCTAGCGTCGCCCTCGGCAGGTAAGTTTGTCCAGAGTGTTTGCAGCATGGAAGAGGAGGAAGCTCTCTCCTCTATCAGGGATGTCTTCGGTGTAAAGTCGCCCCACACTGCACTGAAACGAGCTACATCTCTCATCAGATTCATGAAGTGGCTGAGACCGTTGTCCAGCCAAAACAACGCAGTTGCTTGTGATAGCAAAATTGCTCTCAAAAACCCCCAAGCCCGGAAGTCTCCACTTTCCTAGGAAAGCGAGCCGAGTTTCTCCTCGCAAACTGCCCGTTACCCTCAGCAAATGAAGTTAAATTTGAGAGGAAAACAAGAGCCAAGGGCGAGACTCTCCCCAAAAAAGGCCCCAACAAAAAACAAATTCTTTTGCTTGCGGTCAAGGAGGTCAACCCTCAGACCATGCACAATTGGAAAGTCTCTAGTGGTGAAGGCACCAACAACCTGTGCGTCACGTGCGAGGGTTGTGGGCTTTATGTGCAACAAGTCGACCCACTAGAGGTGGTAGAGCACGTTGTAATTTTTCCCGTGCCTGACTCTGCCGTTGCCCCACTCGAACCCGTGGAGTTTACATGCGTCTCACACCATGATCAACCTCGGGGAGTCTGTGGTCTGCAAAACTTGTGGAGTTTTCCAATCTGTCAGAGTCCTAAAGGCTAAACCTGGTTGTCAAGGCAGGTGTAGTCAGGTCTGCAAGAAACCTAACAGCAGATTTCAAGAAGCCCAAAAGCGAAGTCTTGATCCTAAGGCAGGCGTTAAAGCCTTTTTCGGCATGAGGCCGAGCTGCTCGCCGCATTCCGCAGCCGTTTTGCCTTCAAACCAAAGTTCGCGTGAAACAGAGGCAGGTAGAAGCACAGGGGAGATGCTCCCTCAGGCCCCTCCCCCGTCACCTCAGCCCACTCCCGCAATTCCCAAGCCCAAAGCTAAGAATAAAACCAAAGCAAAAACGGATGGCCGCGCTCAAGCGGAAACTGTGCCTACTGCCCCCATTGACGGCGCCAGGGACTGGCGCCCAGACCAGCTTTCCCCCTGCGAACGCAGGGTCAAACTGCGCAGCACTTCCGCTTCTAGCAGGCAAAACAGGGAAGGGTCTCTCTCTCCCAAAACGCAGGTCACTCGCAAATCCCCTCCCAGCAGAACCCCGGGCGCCCTGATTCCCGAGCGGAGGTTGAGACACTCACCTCGCAGCACAACCCCGCCCGTACTCCCGATCGATCAGGGTGGCAGCCGGAAAGCAGAGCATCCGCAGAAGGATCTAGCATTGTCCTCCGAGAAGCACCAAAGCGCGCAGTCAGCTAGAGAGGATAACCTTGGAGGCACCGATGCAGATGCCGAGACCGAAGGACGGAGTTCAGGCCCTCAAGTGGTGGCCTTCCACTTTTACGGGAAGTGGGAGGCCCCCCCAGCAAGCCAAAGGAGCCTTTACACTACCTTCCTTTCAGCTTAGCCATGGTCCACGACATCACTCAAAGCCTCCATGTCCGGGATCCAATGGATCTGAGTATGAACAATTTTGGTCGTACGCGAGTGGCCTATGTCGCCGAATCAGCCCCCCTGGTATGGAAATTCTCTGATGAGAGCCAAGCCGAAGAGGCGAGAATCAGTAACCTTTTTCCCCACTTGACAGCGAAGGTTTACTGGTATGGGCTTGTGCGAGTCCGCCTACACTGGAAAGGTGGAGAGAAAGATTTTCCATTTTACATGTCACTTCAAGAGCGATGTGTATCCGGGGTTGAGGTTCTCACCCGATTCGGTGCTGGAAGCCAGAGCTGTTTCCAATTCCTGTGCTACATGGCCATCATATTGACCTCTCTTCGTGCAGCAGGTTGGACCTTACGTGACTTAGGTCCCAAGAATGTAGCTGTGAGCCGCACCACGGCCAACTCCCCCCAACCGAAGCTCATCTTTTACGACACGAACGAATGGGCGTGGGAGGGACATGATGCCAAACATGGTTGGGCAGGTTTCTGGTCGCTTGTGTCGGATTTTAGCCCTTCTCGCCAGGGCTGGTTGCGCGACAAGCTCAAACATGTTGGCTTATACCCCAGGTCGTGTGCTGAAACGTTGCTGATGGAGTGTCAGCCCTTCTGGAGTCATCTCAGCGATCAGGGTGTTATCGATTCGGGAGGGCCCTGTTTCAGAAACCTGCGATGAGCCAGAAGGTGAGTCTCTCCCTTATGTGCTGCGGCGAGAATCTCCCGTCAGTCTGGCTAAGACTCTGAGGGATGGAGAGTTTCTCCCAGCCCGTAGCCTAAACCGTAACATCTCCGGATGCCTTCACAAGCGCGGCCGTGTTTAGCAGGCCAAGGTATTCCCGAGAGTAGTTTGTTCTCACTGTTTCACCTGTTAACCTTTCCGGGACTTCGGTTCCGAAGAGCCTAACTGGCTAGCGACGCAGTCCGCTTTCGTGTGATATGTGTGACCCTTCTAGTTTCCCAGTTGACACGTGATGTGCGCTTGAGTTGTCTGCTTTGAGTGTGAAGCATAGGCACGAGGACATGTCAGGCAGTGCGGATTTGACCTTGTTTTGAGTAGGAAGAGCCGTTTTCTGTTCGTTTTCTCGAAACTCGTTTATCGGAACTCGTTTCTTGTTTGTGACCCGGTATCTGGTGACCAGAAGTGACTCAAGCCAGTTCAGAGCTGCACGAAGCTCAGCAGAGCACCTAAGAGGTGCTAGGAACATGCTTGAAGTGTTTGAAGAGTAGAAGTTCCATGGCTGAGTGTTATACCTGAAGTACCTCTGTTTTCCCACGTCTGGCAGACTGTGTTTGAAGCTGGAGAGCCGTGCTCGCTTTGCCTCAAGACGAGCGGAGCTCGAGAATCTGTGAACAGCGCAGTGAAAAGAGTCCGCGCTTTGTGCTGTGAGGGTTGAGTGTAGTCTTGACCTGAGGTCCCTTAGGCCCCGTACGAATCGCGTCCTTGTCAAGCTCGACTTCGAGAACGCATTCAATTCCCTCTCCCGCACAGCCATGCTGGCAGCAGTGTCTGCCCACTTCCCGCACATGTCTCGCTGGACGGCCTGGTGCTACCGACAGCCCACTGACCCCAATTTGGAAGCTCCAAACTGCGATCGGCTGGGGGTGTGCAGCAGGGCGACCCTCTCGGTCCCCTGCTGTTTGCCTGAACTGCGCGGTGGGCCTTTGGACCTGGCGCTGCTCTACTTGGACGATGGCGTGGTGGCGGGCAGTCCGGCTGTGGTGGGCTCGACTGACGCTGCGAGTCTCGGTGCACACCTTCCCCGGCAGCTCCTGGAAACTCCTGACGGAGCCAGCAGGGTGACCTGCAACTTTGGGCTCTTGGGTGCAGCCGTCGGGGATGCTGCCTACGTCGCTGCCTACATGTGCAGTCGAGCTGCCAAAGCCAATGCTTTGCTGGATGCCATTGGCCAGCTCGAGGACCCAACACCCTGACACTGTGGCCTGGGAGACTCAGCTTGCTGCGGCCCAGCCGTGGGCCAAAGCGGTGCTTCGGTCGTTCCTTGCCGCCACCCCCCACATGCTCAAGCCATGGAGCCGGCAGTCTTCGTCACGGAGCTCCGCCACAGGTTACTGGTTGCCGACGCTGCCGAAGACACCTGGTGTCCCAAGTGCGATGGCGTGCTTGACCGGCATTCCTTGCACGCGGGCAGTTGTGTTGCAGGCGGGGAAAGGACGCTGCGGCACAACGCCGTGCGCAACTTGGTGTGCTCCTGGGCTGAACGTGGCGTCTTACAGCCTGAGCGGGAACGAGCTGGTCTTCTTCTTCCCCAACGCCCCGACGAAGCTGCGCTGGCTCGACGCAGACCCGCTGACGTCTTCTTGCCCGCTTTCCGAGGCACTCCCACCGCCCTTGACTTTGCCGTGACTGTCAGCGGTTGGAGTCCCTCGCGGAGGCGGGGCGAGAAGCGGCAGCGGCTGCGGCTGCGTATGCTACAGTCAAGGCGGCGCACATGGGGACTGCGGATGACTGCGCTCGTCAGGGTGTCAAGTTCCAGCCCATGGTGCTCGAGAGCCGCCTGGGACAAGCAGGCTGCGCGGGTTCTGTGGGACATCGCTCGAGCGGTGGCTACGCGCGAGGGCGAGGGCGCAGAGACGCTGCATGGATACCTCTTGCAGAGAGCTCTGCATTGCGGTCAGGAGCCACCGTGCCCGAGCCGTGTTGCGCCGCCGGGCCTGGGCGACTGGGCGGTCTGGAAATCCTGTCTCGCATTTGCACCAGTTGGCTTGTACGAGCCTCTGCATGCCTGGTCTTCGCACCGCCCTCAGAAGCCGGGGTGGTTGCGCATGCTGGCTTGCACGAGCCCTCTGTGTCTTTTGTCTTCGCACCGCCCTCAGAAGTAGGTGTGGTTGTGAAGTTGCCTTTGTAGAGTCGAATGTCAGTCCCAGTACGCTTCCTTGCCTCGGAGCACAGGCAGCAAGAGCCTTCCCTGCTGATGCTCTTGCCACGTGCGGCTGCGGGCTGCGTGCCTCGCCGCGTTGAAGAGATGGTGCCTGCCGAGCCCCAAGGCGACCTCATGAGGAGTAATACCCGCCTTTTCCCTGAACTCGGTTTGTACGACAGCAGCGCACGGTTACCTCAGTTAGTTGCTTTGTTCCGTGGCCAGAAGGCCGAGATCCACAATGACCAGTGGAACGAGCCTGCAATCTTGTACTGCCAATCACGCAGGTGATCGGTGGAGGCATTTGGGTTCAAGATTCAGACGGAGAGGACCAGTGCCCGCAGTTTGAGTGCAACCTCCCTGGTCGCATCCTGCACCTTCCAGCTTCCTTCAAGCCTTCCCGAAAGCACTGCACTGTTCCCTGGCAGGGACCGTTGGCGCACCGAGTCGTGCTTGTTGCCTACGCGCCGCGTGGTTGGAGCAGCCTACCTTGGCATGACCAGCAACAACAAGGAATGCGGGCTTCCACATGCCTCGCCCTCGACAAGAGCCGTGTGTAGCTTCCTCCTCTAATACAGAGTTGAGTTGAAACTTGCAATTGGGGCAGTAGAATATCCCTAAGTTGCATAGTTACGCGGTTGTTTTGACACTTACCCTCAACGTTGCACAACATAGACTTCCAGAAGGGGGGAGTTGAAGAAACAGAGGTACTCACACCCTCATGTACAGTGTCTGGAGAGTCATGTTGCAAACCCGACTTGATTATTTGGCTCAAGGCAAAACAAGAGCGTGCTGTTTTGTCCACTTACTGTTTGCGCGGTATATCCCATCAAACAACTTGTTTTTTTTTGTTGCCCTTTTTGCACTTTTTTGTGCGTTTTTCTAAGCGAATTAAAGGACCAGAAAAACTAAATCGTTATCGCAAAGTAAGGGTGTTCATGAGATATAGACACTTTTCTTAAACAGCAGGTACTGGGATCCCAGAATGCTTCTTATTGAAAAAAGGATCTTCAGCTTCTTTCAAATGCACAAAATTCGATATTTGCACATATAGGCCTTCTCTGTTAAAGCCTCCTTAGCAAAGGCCTGTGCGTAACCCATGTACGTGCTTTTCTCAGTGATCTGAATAGGCCAGACTTTACCTGGTCCTCACATACAGAAACAGCATATTCAAAATCTCATTGGATATGCTATTTAGTTGTGCTATGAATGTAGTGTTCACGTTTCGAGTAGGTAGGACGCATTTGAAATTCTGATAAAAGTACATTTGAATGGTCGCCCTCCTTTCACTCAAAAACAGGAGAACGAATGTGGGCCATCCTCGAATGCGAAAAATCATAAAAATCATCAAACATCCAAAAATCCAAAAATCCAAAAACCCAAAAATCCCAAAATCCCAAAAACCCAAGAATCCCAAAATCCAAAAGTCCAAAAGTCCAAAAAGCCAAAAAGATCCAAAAATCCAAAAATCCAAATATCCCAAACTCAAAAATCCAAAATCCAAAAACCCAAAAATCCAAAAGCAACCCAAGAATCCAAAACTCCAACACTCCAAAAATCCAAAAACCCAAGAATCCAAAGACAACCCAAGAATCCAAAACTCCAAAACTCCAAAACTCAAAAAATCCAAAAATCCAAAAATCCAAATATCCAAACTTCCCGGAAACATTGTCCGAGCAAATTTGGACTTTTGGATTTTTGGATTTCTATGCGTAAGACAAGCATAGAAAAAAACACAGTATATGAAAAGAATGCAAAAAAGCCAAGAAAGTGCAACAGTGCGAAAAGCCAAAAAAGTGCAAAAAGCCAGAAAAGTGCAACAGTGCAAAAAAGAAAAAACAAGTGCAAATGTGCAAAAAATGCAAGCAAAGTGCAACAATGCACAAAAAGCACAAAAAACAAAAATCAGGCAAAACACGCAAAAGAAACAAAGCACGCCAAAACAACTAGTTTTTCCTGTCCCTTTCATTTCGCGGTTGGTCCATGGGGGGGGTTGAGCTATCATATATATACAGATATATAGAGCAAGATTGACATCTTTCCACACGGCATTGATTAAATCACGCTGCCTGGAAGGGATTTAGGGCTTCGGTGACTTCGGTGTTGAGTTTTGCTGTAGTGATTCGTTTTTGGAAGTCGCCCAAAGCTGTTCCCAAGATTCATCGCAAGATGACCTTAACAGACCCATCAGATCCCAAACTGAGGAAGGTGCCAACAAACCATTGACCCCAACATGTCGAGACCTAGTACTCAAGCGGCACCCAAAGGCGTCCCCACTTTCAGAACACCAAAGACCGAGGCGCCAAAGCACGACTGATGCTCTCACGGCTCAGCAAAAGGGTCCTGCGCCATGGTCGCGGGTTTCAGCAGGCGGCAATCGCAAAGGCGATCGCAGAGATTCGTGTTGCGCACCCTGATTCTGAAAGATACATATGTAGCTATGGCCGCGTAGAGAACTCTGGAGCTTAGGCTGGGAAAAGATGCGGGATGTCCTTCGAAAGTGGGACTTGATATTTGGAACAACCACATAATGCATGCATGCGCACATGTGTTCCTAGGTAAATCCTAGAGGGTATGTTTCACACACATACATACATATTTAGGTATATGTGCATGTATATGTAGATGTACATGTATGTATATATACTTTTTTCTATACATTCAATAACATGTTCTTCAGAGGGTTTAAAGGCTTTCCCAGTTTTTCCCCCTTGCCAAAATACAGTCATGAATCGCCACCATGCCTCTGCCTGGGTTTGTTTATTTAGACTTGTAGACCCCAGCTAGCATGCGCTTGTGGAGGCCAGTGAGGAGTTCACCACGTTGATGCTGCAGCTGGGGCAGAATGAGTTGCCTCCGCTTCGGCACGCCTGAAAGCCGGTGGTTGCTGGGGAGGACATGCAAGGTTTTGGAGTTTGGGGGCTTGCAATTGCAATGCTCGCGATGAGGAAACTTGCACGGCTCATAAAGGGATGCGCAAGCACAAGGTTTGAAAGGGATTCATAATGATTCATATAGGTTGAAGCAAGCTTGAAAAGCAGCAAGGGGGTTGCGACGGTTGAAGTGCCCTGCGTGATTGCAAAGTTGGTTGTAACAGCAGGCGGGGCGACAAACAATCGAAGCACTTCTCAAACAGGAGACTGTTGGGCACTAAGCCAATTCTTGTGCCGAAGCACCGTTTGTGTAGAGTAGAACAGAGCGCTTTGACTCAACAGAGACAACGCGCAGCGGACCCAAAGTCCCGAAAGTCCTTGAGAACAAGTCTCAGTTTTCTGAGAAAAAGAAACCTACCAGTCGCATGCACGAGAGCAGGGGAGCCTGGCCACCCCTGAGGGCGCCTTGGGTAGGTGCGGCTGGCGCACGGCTGGCAGGCCTTTTGAGGCTCTCGACTTTCTCTCGATTCTGAGCCCCGTCTCGCCTGGTTCTGCCTTGTTCAATCTAGCGTCACGGCCAAGATCGCGGGAGTGGCTGCACTGGCTGTTGTGACACCAAATGCCTCGACTTGATACACAACCCAGAAGAAAAACAGTGAGGCAAGCCAAATCTCTGTACTTGTGCATCAGACCGCCATAACGCGACCCTAGCCCGTGCATGTCACTTCACTTCAGCCTTTTGGGTTTCCAGAGGGCAGGGACCGGGGGGAGGGGGCGGGCAGCGAGGGCACCCTGCATCCTGGGTGCAGAGCCATGGTGGTCGCTAGCGTCGGCCTTAACTTGTGTTCTCCATCAAAGTCAGCAGGTAAAAGTGTTCCTTCCACCGCACCAACTAAAGACGTGCTTCTCCAAGGCGATTCCGAAGGAAGCACGGAAACAGAGGCGCAATGCTTTGCACCTGGCTGGAAGCTGCGAGTAGTTTTTGACAGGATCTTCCGAAGCCTTCGGTGTTCACCCGCATTTTGGGTGCTAACTTTCGCCTGGAGGCGTGGATTGTCACGGCATGTTCAGGGAATTGAAGGGGGAACGGGGGAAAAACAAATTATAAAGAAGGGCGACGACTTGAGAGGTCCTCTGCGGTTTGACTGTGGCCCTTGCGCTTGTCCCAGAAGCCACGGCCTCGGCAACTTTTCGAGAGAGAACACGAGAACACCCTCCGCTTTCAAAGATGCCATTCCCCCCATCCAGCTTGTTTGTGTGGAGCGGAGGGCTGAAAACACGTTGTGTCTTGCGGCATGAGGCCGTCGCCTTTGCACTTGCTGCTGGGCTGCCCCCGGACGTTGGGCTGAATTCCGCCTGGACGGGAGAAGAGTCAAGCTGCAAGCGGCGTCTGGTGTGCCCGTATGGTGTTCAATGGTGTTCAGGATTATCTCCGTCTTCACTGCCATTTTTGGGGGCCGGCCTGGGATGATTTGTGGAAAGGGCCTCGAAGAGGGCCATGAGGACGTGGAAACTTCCTTGAGACATTTCGGCTTCTTTTTGGCTTCCCAGGTGCCACGGGCTCTCTGGCCGTGCTCGTGCCCGGCACCGTCAGCCAGGCTGTGCTTCGAACCTCGAGAGACGCACATGAACAGACTCCTGCAAAAGCACGAGCTCTTTGTGAAGTGAGCCCTTGAATTTAGGGAACGCGCTTTTGTTCTCTCAGAACATGCCCGCAGGAGCACGGCAAGGTCGGGAGCTTAACACAGTGACAAGCCCGGCGCATACCCATAGTGGAGAACAGAATCGGGGCTGCCTTCCTCTTGCGGTCCAGAAAAAACGCGGGAGCTTTTTGTTTGTGAGTTGGAGCCTCGTTGAGCAAAAGGAGCTGCTCTTCTACGCCGTCATCGTCATGGGTTTGCTGGAGGTTTCTTGGAAAACTCTTCTCAGAGCGAAGAGCACTGGCTCAGATTGAAACAGAGCTGACAGGTGGTGCTCGGCCTGCTCAGTGTGGGCACTTTGGTGAAGTTGATCCCGGTCCCCGTCATGAGTCCGCGGCCCGAGCAGAGGGAGGTCCTGGGATAGAGAGCCACTCAAAAGCGGGAGATCCGAGGCAAGAGGCAGTGAGTGAGTGTGTGCATTATATATATATATATATATGTACGGAGGACCTTTATGTACTATTTGATGGGGGGCCTCTTTCTTGTCAATTGTTTAAAGGAATTTTAAGGATTATTTGGATTTTAGGGGCTTCGCTTCTTTTAAGAAGCCCAAGGGGTTTCTCAAATTTTTGGGAAGCCCTTAAATTCCTTAACATCCTTATAACCCTGAAAATCCGGGGAAAATATAATCTTCCTGGCTCAGGCCGGGCTTTTATTAAAAGCTTTATACAATCCTTAAAATCCTGAAAATCCTTAAAATCCTGAAAATTCTGGGAAGCCGGTTCCCAGCAGTTTGGACTTTTTTTAAGGATTTTAAAGATTTTAGGGGCTTCCCACAAGTTTAAGAAGCCCCCGGGTTAAGGATTTTCAGGGCTTTAAGGATTTTAAGGCATTTACGGGCTTCCCAAAATCTTAAAACACTCCCTGGAATTTTCTAAAAATTTTGGGAAGCCCCCACATTCCTTAAAATCCTTAAAATCCTTAACATCCTGAATATATTTCCCCAGGATTGTAAGGATGTTAAAGCTCTTTAGCCTGGGGCTCTCCAAAGGTCAGAAAGTTAAAGTTCTGTAGCCTGGGCATCTCGAGGGATCAGAAAGTTAAAGACCTTCGCCTGGGCCTCTTGAGGGGTCAGAAAGTGAAAGTTCTCTGGCCCGGGGCCCTCGAGAGGTTAGAAAGTTCAAGTTCTTTAGCTTGGGCGTTTTCTCATGATTTCTTCCCAAACAGGATTGGCGAAATCTGGCGCGATCTGCGTGCTGCCGTTTCTACAGTATCTAACAAGCGTGGCGCGTTGATCATGTCCATTTTGTTTGAGGAACCTCGATCGATCTTCTTATTCTTCTTCTTTGTTCTTATTCATCGTCTTCCTGAAGTTTTTTCATTTTCTCTCCTCCGCCTTGACCCCTTCCCTCTCCTCGTGACATGCCTTGCCCTTCCCTCCTTTCCAGACCATTCCCACGCCCTTCTCAAATGAATAAGCAAGTCAAGAATAGGAGAGGAAGAGAGGAGAGGGAGGAGTATTCCCTCCTTGTTATTTAGCAGCTTTCGCACCGGCTTGTGCCGGCTTGCACTTGTTCTTGTCCCTTGAGAGGTTGTTCTTCTTTTCCCTTGACTCACCTTCCCCCTCCTCTTCTCCTCATCTTACTCTTTCTCGCTCTTTCTCTCTCTCTCTCTTTTCTTTTTGTCCTTTCTTATTATCACCCTTTCTTGCTTATCTGTTGTTTTCTCCACGATTGATCTCTGAATGCTGAATCACAAGCAATGTTTTTTTGTGCAGATTTAGCGTTTGGCGTTTGGGGTGGAGGGTTTTGCGTTTTGGGTTTTGGGTTTAGGGTCTGGGGCTTAGAGTTTATGGTGGTTCTAAACCCCAGACCTCAAGCCTAAGACCTCTTAACCTTAATCCCTCGCCCCTAAGCTTTCAACCGTCAACCTTAAACCCGAAGCCCCGAACCATGAGCCGTCAGCCGTTTTGCAGTAGTGGTTTCGTACCCTAGGCTCTACCAACAGCAAAGCTGTGTTTGGTTCTTTTTTAAGGGCAGTGGTGTATACATCCTAAATGTTTGTTATTTGAGTAATTGAGTAGTATTGAATAGTATAAACAAAGAGACCCGTCAAATAATACATAAAGGTCCTTGCCACATATATATATATATATATACTACCCCCACCTACCTTTTTAGGCCTTCTTAGGCCTGTTTAACAAAAAACAACAAAGGAGGCCCAAAAGTCGCGTAGTTAATCACCGGGTAATGAAGGACAGTTACTGGGACACCCACCTCACAGACCCCGATAAGCCAGCATTGGAAGAATCTACATTTTGAATCTGAAGCGGACAATGCTGTTTTTAGCTGTTTAGATCAGTGCTTTTCTATGAAAATTGTGCGTTTCAAGGGCAATTAATGTTTTGTTGAGCAACTAATTTATTTATACAGTTGTGTTTGTACCAGGCAAAGTATTAATCAAATAGTGAAACATTTTTCTTGGTTCTATGCGAATCTAGCTACTAGAGTAATTGTTCAGCAAAGAGCCCAATTTGTCTCAAGTGAATACTATTTAAAGGAGCATACTCAACCAAGATACGAAATAAACACCATTCTCAACCAAAAAATGGCAAAGTGTGCGTTTAAAGTGCGAATACTGTATTTATACAATTGTGCTCTCTGAAAAGTCCACTGAAATACCTTATGTTTACATATTCATGAATCGTTCTTATTTTTGAAATAATCATTTTATGCGAATTTAGCTACTAGAATAATTATTAAGCAAATAGCCCAATTTGACTCAAGTGAATACCATTTAAAGGACCATACTCAACCAAAATACGAAAGAAGCAGTGGTTTAAAGGGCAAATAGTGCTTTGTTGAGCAACTAATGCATTGAAACAGTTGTGTTTATACCAGGCAAAGTATTATTGAAGTACTATCTGCAAAGTCAAATGAAACACCTTATGTTTACATATTCATGAAACAATTTTTTTGAAGTATTCATTCTATGCGAATTTAATTACTAGAGGAATTCTTAAGCAAATAGCCCAATTTGACTCAAGTGAATACTATTTAAAGGAACATACTCAACCAAATACGAAATAAACACTTGCGGAAATGGAAACGGTTCTACCTACATAACAATGAGACAAAGATTGCTGAAGTATTCACTAAAGACCACTTATATACTATGTCTGGAAAGCACAATTTGCATGAGCAAGCTTAAAAATGCACAATAATGGAAATAGAAACGGTTCTACTTACATAACGATGAAACAAAGATGTCTGAAGTATTCAATAAAGGCCACATATATACTATGCTTGAAAAACGCAACTTGCACAATCAGGCTTAAAAAATGCACAAGAATCCTAGAAAAGTACTTAGTGAAGGCCATACACAAGCAAATTCACAAATACATAAAAACATCCAAAAGCGCAAGCTTTTCAGGAGAATCTCTGGTAAAGTTTGGATTATAGGGTTTTGGGGTATTCCTGGACGAGTAGGAGTCACTTTTTAAGCAAACAATTCTAAGCAATAAATGCTTTTTCTCAAGACAAGTATTGCAAATGCTGCTTCTAGATAATTAATCGCATTTACCAGGCAAATATTATCCATGCGAATTGAGCTACCAGAGCACCAAGTAATGGCTGAATAAGGTCTACTACACTTGAGTACAACCAAGAGATGCACTAAACACTAGCGGCTCTATTTACATAATAACGAAACAAATAGTTCTGAAGCACTAGAAAGACCACTGGTATACTATTTGTGAGAAGCACAATTAGCATAAGCACACTTAAAAATGCGTAGTTGTTGCCTCGTGACCGTGAAGGCGAACCAAAAAGCCAAAATACCAAAACCAAAAAACCAACAATTCCAAAACCAAAAAAACCAAAACCAAAAAGACCAAAATACCAAAAAAAAACAGTTTTCCGGGACTCTTGGAGAAGCCTCATAGGGATTTCCTGAGAGTCCCGGAAAATTGTTTTTTTTGGTATTTTTGTTTTTTTTTGGTTTTGGTTCTTTTGTTTTTTTTGGTTTTGGTTTTTTTGGTTTTTTTGGTTTTGGTTTTTTGGTTTTTTTGGTTTTGGTATTTTTGGTTTTTCTACTGTCCTGTGTATGCGATTTTAGTTGTATTTTCGTCTACGCCCTAGGAAATACGCTATATTGCACACCGAGTTTGCTTGCAGTGCAGCTGGGTGACTGAGACAAGGCGAAAAAAGGTAGGTCACTGGGGGGGGCGGGGGTACCAGAGATATATATATATATATATATGTCTAGATATACATATATACACATCGGGCACGGCAAATGTTTTGTTGCTTTCAGTTGGCTTCTGCAACGGCTTGGCCCTCGTGATCGGCCTGGCTCAGATTAGCAACTTCAAGGACGAGTGGGAGTATAGTGCCAGTACAGACAGGTGAGATGAATCGAGTCCCCACCTTCAACATCCTTCTTCAACATCCTTCAACTGTTTTCTCGCAAGGACCCGGAAGCCCTGCATCAGCATGGCCGTGAATCCAGCGCTGGAATCCTGGAGGGTCTGCTGCAGAGTTTCCGTTGTTCCTGCCTTGATGTGTCAGGGCCGCCGCTTAGACAGCTTCCACGCCTTCACTGACCGAGCCCGATTCACCACGTGGTTCTGAGAGCCTTTTCCGGATCCCCTTTCTGGAGCCCCCACCGCTGAGGATGGTGTGCCGTTCGTGCAGGGCAAGGTGTTGCTGTTCGCAGGGCCTGGGCCCCCTGAGCTCTGCGCTCCTCCGCCCTGAAAAAAGGGGGGTTCTGAATGAGTGAGGGTCCATGAAATTTTCCTTCCAAGGCTGATCACGGCCTTGTCCTTCTTTGTGAGCCTCTTCCTGCCAAAGCTCTCCACGCGCGTGCCCTCGGCCCTTGTGGCCATCCTTCTAGGCTCGAATTTATCTAATTGAGTCGTCTTTTTCGTGTTTTGAAGAGTGCTCTGTCTTTAAGAGAGCTCTTGTTTTCTGCTCTTCTCGTTGAGAGGCACGGCCTTCGAGTGGCTCGTGGCCAGGATTGCTTTCGACACAAGAACGCCCATTGTGGGGGACATCGCCAGCCAGTGCGACTTCCCGGTGCCCTTCTGGTTCAACAGGTGGCCGGTTCTCTGTTTCACACACACACACACGCTCCCTCTCTTTCTCTCTCTCTCGCTCTCTCTGTCTCTCGCTCTCTCTCTCTCTCTCTCCCTCTCTCTCTCTCGCTCCCTTTCTCTTTCAGCACACAAAGCTTGAAGCACAAAGCTTTAAGCACAAGATTCCTCTTGAGCTCTCTCTTTGTCATGTGTTGGCCAGTGACTATCCAAACCCGCCGCCCTTCAGCAAGGACAGAGAAGGGATCAGAGCAAAAAAATCAGCGAAGGGGGATCGGTCGGGGTTTCTGCAAAGTCTGCCCGGTCTCCAGGAGCTGCTCATCAAGGCCAATCCCGCCGCAGTAGCTTTTTGTAGCTTTCCGTAGCTGGAGAAGGGTATCAAGACATGCACGCGACATATGGGTGCTTTTTGGTTCTTTCTCGCTCCTAGAAGAGAGATGGTTTGCGCTGGACCAGTCGGAGGGATTTGTGATCTGCGGATGCCATGTGAGTTGTTTCACGGATTCTCTTGTTGTTTTTCCCCATTCTCGTTGCTGGGTTGTTTTTAAATCAACCACACTCCTCGCCTCCTCACTTCCTCGCCCGATGTCCCGGTCTCCTGGGGAAGCCATCCCTGGAGTGCCCACCCCCAGAGAAGCCTGCAGAGAGTCCCGCAGAGGGCTCGCGAGCCCGTTGAGTATGGAGCCCTCCCTCAGAGAATTTCCGCGGAAAGTACCTACATTCATCAGAAGCTGTAGGGTAGGGATGATCGAAGTTAAAGGCAGTTAATGATTGTAATTGCATGTTTGTTGTTTCTTGCAGGTCCTGCCGCTGTCTGTGACGATGGCGGCACACGCCCCGGTCGAAGAGGGCGGAAGCGATAGAGACTTTGAATTATGTGACCGGTGCTTAACGTGCTAGTCCGCTCGTCATGTGCTGAGGCTGTGGGTCTGCTGGAGTCCCTCATGCTTTGCCCTTGGCTCATTGAGAAGCTGCTTCCCTTTTATTTGGAATTCAGCCCAAGGACCTTGAACCTCATCGATGAGATCACCAAGACTAAAGGGAACCCAACCAGGCCATGGGCTGCCTCTGAGAGAGCTGTTCAGAGCTGTTCAGAGCTGTTCAGTGCTGTTCAGTGCTGTTCAATACTATTCAGTGCGGTTCAGTGCTGTTTGGAGCTATGGCAAGGAGCTACTGAGTAGCTATTACGGTGTTGGCAACTTTTTGTTGCTTTGATGTTTTGATTTCCGAATATTTCCGATGTGCTGCGCGCAGGGAGTGCCTGGGACAAGGATGGCGGAGAGGGAGAAAATGAACACAATGAACACAATGAACACGGTTTGATAAGAACGCATCGGATGGGGCATGGGCATGTGGAAGATGGCATGGAAGCCAGGACTTGCAAATCTGGTGTGGACCTCAGAGAGAGCTGATTCTCAGAGAGAGCACCCAGTCGTCTTTGTCTTGTCTTCTTTCAGGTCTGCGGCTGCTTCGGGGGCATGGGCGGGTGCGCGATGATCGGCCAGTCGATGATCAACATCGGCTCGGGCCGGGGAACCCGCGGAATGCGCAGCTGGGGTAAAGATGGGTCCAAAGCAGAGTCCAAAGAGTCTAAGCGAGAGCAGAAGAAGAGCGGAGACTGGAGCGACAGTTCTCATATGGTCTCATATCCTAAATCCGCCTTAATTACACTTAGCCTTTCTTTAGAGTTTGTCGGGGAGAGGCAGAGAAAAACAAACAAAACACTTCCTCAGCTGAGTTTTGGGGCGCGTGATCTTGAGGCGCTCGGTCGCGGCTGAGCTCCCTGTCGGCAGGACTCGACGACCGCTTCTTCTGCTTCTCTATTTCCTTTACCTCGCCTTCAGGAGCCTTCCTGCTGGCCATTGTGCTTGTAGCCTACCCAGCCATCAAGCAGATTCCTGTCTCCGCCCTCGTAGGGGCAACTGGGCACTTCAAGCGTTTGCAACTTGCAGTCTCAGAAGCAGAGAAGATGGCAAAGGATAACAGAAGCTTCTCCTGCTCAAGGTGATGTTTAACGTCTGCTTCCACACCTTCGAATGGAGCTCGCTGAAGCTCATCTTCTTGGCTGCGATGCCTCTTCAAGCAAGACGCAGGTGGGTAGGACCGGGTAGGGGTTTTCTCTTTTCAGGCTGCACGCGCGGTGTCATTCCGCAGGTTCCTTAGCGCCAAGGCAAGCAGCCAACAAATTAGGCCAGGCGCTCAATCAGGAGGGCTCTCAATCAGCAGAGGGCTCTCTATGCCCTTCGCACTCTTGCACACTTTGCACTCTTTGCGCTCTTTGCTCACTTCAGTGTTGCTTCTCATCGCGGGTGAGGCGCACGGATGCCCTGGTCATCATCGTCGCCCCTCGACCTTGTGTTGACCCTCTCTGTCAGCTCTGGCAAAGATGCTGCGATGCTGATCAGCTTGTTCTAATTGTTGCGCCCGACTTATGTAAACTGCGTTTCAAGGTGACCTTGGTCACGCTCTTCACAGACCTGGCGACAGCCGTGGTCAGGGGCTTCAACTCCAAAAAGCGGCTGTTCCACGACTAGCTGTTGCGCGAGACTAGCATCTCGCTGTGTCGGTGCGTGGCGTTGTGTGCAAGGCGGTTGGGATGGTGATCTCGCTCTTTGTCTTTGCTTTGGAGACCTCGAACACGATCCAAGTCGTGGCCCGGGAGGACAGCCGCGACGGCGTGAAGGTCGGGAACAAAGCGGCCCGAGACAAGCCAGGGGGGAGACACAAACAACAACTAGAATCCCCAAAAAAGAGAGAGGAGCAAAGACAGAGCCTCCTCTCAGCTCGCAGCTCTCAGCTCTCAGCTCTCAGCTCTCAGCTCTCAGCTCTCAGCTCTCAGCTCGCAGCTCGCAGCTCGCAGCTCGCAGCTCCCAGCTCTCAGCTCTCAGCTCTCAGCTCCCAGCTCTCAGCTCCTATTTTCAGGACTTCTCTCGCTCTTTGCCTTGATCCCCGCGACTTCAGGTCTACGACGTACACGTTCAGACCTCAGCCTGGTCACCCTCGGTGCAGCGGAAGCAGCTTGTATCACAAACCCCCCTTCAACCTTCCCACGCCGCCGGCGGTATGCCTTGGAAGACCGCGCAGCTTCTGCCTCTGCAAGCAGATCCCAGTCCCAGTCTTCTGGACAGGGCACGCTCTTCTTCGGCAGCACGTCGCACTTCTTGGAGCTCTTTGACGAGGAGATTTCTTGGAAACGGAGTTCTGGAGTGCGGGAGAATGGAGTTTCGACGGAGGGTCTTGCCAGGACAAAGACCCAGATGACGTGCGCCCGGAGCTCGGAATGCGCGATAGATGTATGCAAGATTATCTGTATAAGGCTCGATAATTCTATATTTCCCAAAAGCCCCAAGGTGCTCATAGAAGCGATGGAAGCTGTTGGAGCTCCTGTGCGTTTCAGGTTTGGTGTTTGAGACTGGGCATGTGGCCGACTTCTCTGCAGTGCAGGCTAAGCGGGTAAGCATGTCCTTTTTCTGTGTGCTCTTGCATGCTGCGTAGCTGCGTCATATGGACAGCTGCGAATTGCACAGCTCCAAAGAGCTCCCTTCCCGCATGTGCCAACGGGTTTACATACGCAGCAAAGTCCCTGCAGGCACTCAACAAGCTTGGTGAGCGTTACGGACAGACCGTCACGCTCAGAGATAGCGCATTCTTTGCTTTTGGTTTGCTTTTCTATTTGCAAACTTTTCTTTGCTTTTTCTTTGCTTTCTTCTTCTGCGGTCTTTATGACCCGTTTTGCCAGGATCCGTGAGGAAGCGGCTCACCCTGCAGCAGCTCATGCCCTGGGCCCCAAACTTTGGCCGCTAACGGCTAACGTGGGAGTACTTACAGTCAAGACCCATAAGACTTTGCTTGAATCATTGAGGCCCAAAACACACCGCGTCCTCTCCAGAGCGTGGGCCCCAGACCCGAGGACAGCCCGAGAGTGAACGCTTAGCCGGCTTAGCCATGGCAGGCACAAGGGCTACTGGTCGAGGAGATCACCCTGTCCTTGGACCGGGAAGAGGTTCTTCCCGCCGTCCTCTCAGGATTCTCTGCGTGCTGTTGGCAGAGTGGAAGTATGTGCAGGTCTGCAATTGAGTCAGAGTCGGAGGGATGTCAGCAAACCTGATCAGAAGAAAAGAAACTAGAGCTCGCAGACTCTTCTTTCACAGTTACAATGGAGGCATCGTTCGGCCAAGTAAGAGCTCTGCCTGTTTCGACTCCCCGTGCTAGCCCCCCGTAGCTCTGCAATGCCCTGCAGCACATATGGCTTTTGTTTTTTGCGAGAAGGCACGAGAAACGGCAAGCGCTGTCGTGGCCACACACCTCCACATCGAGCCTCGGCAAAACAAGTGTGACAAAGATGTTTTTGAAGGCTTCTCTTTGGATAACTGTTGGAACGGAGCAGGAGCGGATACCCTCGGTGGATCACTCCTTGCTCGTGGACAGGGAGCTGTCGAGGCTCGTACAGAGCCCTGGCTCCCCTCTCTGAGATTTTTCTGAGTGACTTTTGTGCTTGATGTGTCGAGTAAATACGTACATGTTTGTGCAGGTCCGACGAGGAGGCTGGGCCCGGCCTATAGAACTCGCAAGCCTCTTTGCCCAAAGCGGCGAAGAGTTTTGCGAAGGAGGCGAGGGCCCCCCAAAAACGAGCCTCAGCATCGTGGAGAGCATCTTTTTTGCGGAGAGCATCCCCAGCGGAACGTCGCAGTATGTTGCTGAGCCATCTTTGCGCCGGCTCGCACTCTCGGTCTCAGGTCGCGTATGCGCATGTAGCAAAATACGAGAAACACGCACATAAGCACTTGCCCCCCCCCCCCCTTTTTCAAGAACGCCTATAGCTTGCGTTTAGATTGAGTTTTGAGCAGACTTTGAGAGCTCTTGCTCCGGCTCCCCGGCTTCGATGGCTGGAAGGCTGCTCCGGCTGGAGGCCAGACATGGCCAGACATGGCCAGACATGGCCACAGATATGGCCAGAATAGCCACCGATATGGCCAGATCGCCTGGGGGGTCAAAAAAAAGTCAAGACATGTCAAGTTCTCAAGTGAGATCAAAGATGCGAGATCAAAAGGCGCTGTCCTGCCCCGAAGGCGGTGAGTGGCTGGCCAAAGCTGCCGGCAAGCCTCCGGGAGGCGGCAACCGCGCCTTGGCGATCGTATGTCAGAGCAAACATCAGAGCATGGGTCAGAGCATGCGTCAGCACGTGTGGGAAGAGTTGCGAATTTGCTGAGAACGCTCCTTCTTCCAAAGCTGGCTTGGATGAGGAGGCCGCCTTGGCTCGGCGCTCGGAGAAAAGAGAACGGCAGAAAGCGCAGAACGATGGCGCATACGGCGCGCTTTTGTGAGAGGCGAAGGAGCAGGAACATCTCTATCGGTCAGGGGATCAGGCGCCTTTTCCACCAGTGTTATCCTTGCAGCAAACATCGGCCTACAGTACAGTTTACCTAGAAGTTTGTTGAGGAGATCCTCGAAGACATCGAGGCGGAGGAGGCCGCTCAGGCTGCCCCACCACCGCAGGACAGGGTGAGAAAGCAGGGATCGAGTCACAGGACTTGGATGAACAACAAGCGTGTGGACTCGAGCATCCCTGGCATCCCTGCACGAGGAGATCCCGCTTCCCGTGCCAGAGGCGGCCTGTTCTGTTCTGTTGTCGTTGTTGTTGTCGTTGTTGTTGTCGTTGTTGTTGTCGTTGTTGTTGTCGTTGTTGTTGTCGTTGTTGTTGTCGTTGTTGTTGTCGTTGTTGTTGTCGTTGTTGTTGTTGTCGTTGTTGTTGTCGTTGTTGTTGTCGTTGTTGCTGTCGTTGTTGCTGTTGCTGTTGCTGTTGCTGTTGCTGTTGCTGTTGCTGTTGCTGTTGCTGTTGCTGTTGTTGTTGTTGTTGTTGTTGTTGTTGTTGTTGTTGTTGTTGTTGTTGTTGTTGTTGTTGTTGTTGTTGTTGTTGTTGTTGTTGTTGTTCTACTAGCTCAAGCCGCCCGCGCATGGTAGCTGTCGAACCGGCCAAGGCCCCGAACTTCATCTCTTTAACAGTTTTCGGGGCCCTCTTAACATCTCAAGGCTTTCTAGCTTTTGCCAGCTGATGGTCACTTGGAGGCTTTAGCCCCAAGCATTTTGAGATTGCCGCAGACAGCATATCCACGAGCTGGCCCGGTCCCAATTCCGGGGGGAGAACTTAGATCGTCTTAGACTGCATCTTTCACTCCTAAGTGTGAGGGTTCTCGTCTTTCCGCAGGACGAGGGGAGTCTGATCGTGCTTCGGCACTTCAGTCGAAACAAGCGGATGGCAGAGGGTTTAATTCGGAAACACTCCTATCGTCGGGCCTGTCACCGAGCCTTAAGGGACGGTTGCGCAGTACCATATCGAAGGACAAATTTGCCTCTAAGCCAGGCACAGGCAAGCGCAGGCACGGCTGCACCTAGTGCAAGCCAAGAGACTAAGGAAAACATGCATGCTCAATTTGCACAGCAGCTTCCTCTTAGGCAACCGCGTAGGCGTCACCCTAGAGGCGGTCGCGAAGCCAAACCACTGCGGGTTTTCTCGTGGAATGCAGGTGGATTAAGCCAGCAATTGTGGGCAGAGTTCAAGGAGTGGCTGCAATATCAGCAGGACCTCGATGTTATCTTTATCCAGGAAACCCACTGGACTACATCCTCCCAGTTTAAAGTGCACGGCTGGACAGCTGTCTCAGGCGGGCTGCCGGATGAAGAGCTCGTGAGGTCTCCTCCCGCTCAAACATCCCAGCTACCCGAACAGCCAAAGCACAGGCGCTCTGCAGGTGTTCTCACTCTACTATCGCCTAGCATAGACTCAGCAACACTACGCTGGCAGGATCTACACCCAGGCCGTGCTCACGAGGTTCACTGCGAAATCCGAGGCCATCCAGTGCTTCTGCTCAACTGCTACCAGTACACCAAGCAACGAGGCATGACGGAGCAGGACCACTATGCCACCCAAAGCAAAGTTCTCTCCTCCCTAAGCAAGTCCCTTACCAACTTGTCACAGCGTACTGTTCCGGTACTGGCGGGCGACTTCAACTCTTCCCTAAAACCAAATCCCCCCTTTGTAGGGGGAGTGGTGCCAGCAGGATCTTCTAAGCACAAGCCGGTTCAAAAGCAGTTCCAGAAGTTTCTTCAGCGAAACTCCCTAGTTGCGCTTAACACATGGCAGGGGCGCAAGGCAAACACTTTCATCTCGCCACAGGGCAGCTCTCAGATAGATTTCATCTTGACCTCCAAATTCTACGCTGCTCAGCTGGCCCGCAAAGTGTGTGTCCTCAAAGACTTCAAGCTGGGAGCATGGCGTAAAGGTGGCAAACACATGCCACTCAGGACGGCAGTACCCCTCAAGAAGGTCTGGAGACACCCGTTCTTGACCAAAACTCAACCGGCAGTCCCTTCCAAACAAAAGTCCCTACTGGCTCACCATGTTAGACAAAACACTCCTCTGGCCCAAACCCTGCGGGAGCAAGTAGCAAAGGATGTCGACAAACTCCGAGCGCAGAAGAATGGCGAGCCTCTTCACCCTGATGAGGTCAACGAGCTTCTTCTCGAACATGCCAAGACTTTCCAGCCGAGGGACCCAGAAGCAGGCAGCTCGGACGCAGCTCCGACAGCACAACCTCTGTGGCGGCTTCATAACCATCGGCAGACCGCACTGCGAAACCTAAAACGTGAGGACGACGTTATAAATAAGATGGCTCGCACCGAGCACCTCAAACAGGCTCAGCGCTCGCTGG